CTGGGATGACTGGCTTATACTCAAGATTTTCGTTTGTTGTTTTCGTATAAAATAATAAATTATCTATTATTTCATAGTTTTTTGCTCTATTTCTTATCGCATCGATATCTGTGTGCTCAAAGCTTTCGGGGTCTTTCAAATAAGCATAGATATTTCCAAATTCAGGATCAGCTTTCAGTTCAGTAATAACCGTATCTCTAGAATCTAAAATTTTTGAAGTCAACACAGCGCATTTAAGTTCATTTCCTTCATCGTCCAGTTTTATACGAGAAAGTGCGTCAGCTACATTGTTTTCCTTACCCGGTTTATATTTTATTGTGATATTATATTCTTGGAGTTTTAAAGCCCATCTTATTAACCTGGGCGTTAGGTTTTTCCCCGAGTAAAGTCTACCAACAGCCGCATGATCCGAAAAGACTGTTACTGGCGCTTTGCCGAAATAAACTCGAAATTTGTGTACAGCCATTAATACGGCTAATGTTTCTCTTTCTGTAGCTGTATAATTCCTTTGTGTCTGATTCAACGTTTTACTAAAAAATGCCAGAGGATGGTTATTTTGCATAAGAACCGCACCCACCGCATAGTCCTGACGCATCTGCTGCAATTTCCAGGTTTTCGTCCCCCTCCGGGAATTTTAAAACAGGGGCATTGATGAGCGCTTCTTTTAATCTTTCAAAAGCTGTGTTTGCTTCCGCTGTCCACGTAAATTTACCTTTTTTCTTTTGATTACTAAGAGTGGTTCAACAATATTAGCGAAATCTTTATGATGAAGACCGATAGTAAGAACATAACCCAAGGAAAGAAGAAAGTTTCTTGGCGGTGTTGGGCGGTGGGAAATTCTTGATAGCTTTTATTTTTGAATCTTGCGTTTCTATACCCTTTTGCGAAATTTTATAACCGAGATATTTAAGTTCTTTAGTTGCGAACTTGCATTTTGAGGCGTTAATTGTAAGACCGGCCTCTTTTAATAATTTAAAAACTTCTAGATCTTTAATGTGTTGTTCCAACATACTACTCGTTATAATTATATCATCTAGATAGATTAAAGTTGATTTTCCTAGGACAGGCTTTAGAACAATGTCCATAGCTCTCTGGAATGTTGATGGGGGCCCCACACAACCCAAAGGGCATGCGTAAAAATGCATAAGTGCCCGATTTTGTTATAAACGCGGTTTTATGTATGTCTTCGGGTCTCATAGCTATTTGATAGTAGCCCAGACGTTAAGTCCAAAGTAGACATGTATCTTGTCGATTTGATCTTGTCTAATAATTTCCTCTATAACCGGCAAAGGGTAAACTGGGAAATTTAGTAATACTATTTAGTTTTCTGTAATCGATAGCAAACCTCCAAGCCCTTTTATCCGAAGGAGGAAACTCGTTCTTTTTCCTACATAGTACGACTGGACTCGCGTACTCACTATTTATGGGCGTTATTATTTTATTCTTTAACATCTCCTGAATATGTTCTTCGATGATTAAGTCTTTTTGTTTATCATAGCGATAAGGTTTAGTCCTACAAGGTTTTTCGGCATTTAATTGAATCTTGTGCGTAACTATTTGACAGTTTCCAGGTTTTTCTGAAAACAAGTTGAGAAAAATTACTCACCACTTGCTGGTATGGCTTTACTTTCATGGTCATTCAAATGGCTAAGGTCCAACTTGCGGTTGTCTCCACAGGTTCCACCACCCTCTGGTCCATCTCCAGCACCACGGAACTATCTTGAAAATTTAATTTGGCCCTCGCGGCCCTTAAAAACTCCATACCTAAAATAAGAGAGTTTGCAGATTTTTCACCACAAAAATTAATACTTTGAGGCTTTCCTCTTTTACCTGTAAGTTTAATGATAATTTCCCGATGCAGTGACATGTTTTTCCTTGCGCCGCTATAATTTCCGTATTTTTGGTTTTAAATAATCGTAACCTATAAAAATTCTTTTTGAAGAAATTTTCACTCATAAAATTTCCTTCTGCTCCTGTATCGATGAGGGCTTCTACTGGTACATCGCCAACCAGGACTTGTATAATTGGTAGCTGTGAGTTTTTTACGATGACCGTATTTAAATGTCTTTTGAGGGTTTTTTTAAAACTTCCGGGGTCTGGACCCTCCCTTTCACAGGCCCCTCTACTCGTTTAAAGCTTTCCTTTCAATCTGTGTCTTCTGGGTACGCGGATGTTTATTTTCAAATTTTCTTTTTGGGCCTTGACCTTCGAGTTTCGATGAGTTAGCTTGATAGTTCTTTCTTTCCCCATAAGAGCGATTTCCATTTCTGGTTTCCTCATTTGAAGATTCCTTCGGGTACTTTGAGAATACGTTTCCCCTCTAGCTTTTTTCCGCTATTCTGCGATTTTGAAACTTCACCGCCAATTCGAAGAGTTCCTGCAATGTGCTTGGGTTTCTAATTTCAAAGTAGTCTTGAACAGCGGGTAACAATCTTGGTAAGATTATTTCAATAATCTCCGCATCGGGTTTCTTTCCCATACAGCATATCCGTCAGCTTAATTTTTCGCAGAATAAAGTCCGTCAATTCTTGCTATATCCCGTTGATAGAAACTATATAGTTCGGCTTCCAGCCTTGCTCGATCTTTCACTATGGGGAAGGCCTTTACTAACGATTTTTTGAAATTTTCAAATGTATATGTCTGGCTTCCAAATTCCCCTAATAAAAATTTGCCTATTTTTCCACCATAGCGCGGCCTGTCCTCTTAGTGCAGATGTGGCGATGGCAACTTTTTGTCTTTCAGGCACAGGGTAGAGCTGAAAGTGATTTTCTAGGCCTTCTAGAAATATCGCCACCGAATTTTTTCCGTCGTCGAAAATTGACGTTTGGCTTGATTGACGCTCTCAAAGTCTGGACCAGGTATCCAAATCCTTCTAACTGGGCTTGTCATTTCTTGGTGTTGTCCAGCGGCTTCCATCCAAGTTTTCGGCCATTTCAGTTCGATAAGTGTTCGGGCGCCAATGTAACGTTGCGCGCCTCCAACTTGCACGCAACCAAGAGGTGACTGTGAAAACTGGATAAAAAGACAGAGTCTTGTGAAGGGTTTAAGTCCCTTTTTATTCAACGTAATAAATTACAATTGCGTGCTCTTGACGCTCACAAACTACGCCAACCGGCGGTCAAATAAAAATAATAACCTGAAAAGAAACTAAAGACAAGATTCTAACTACGAGGCTCTCTAAAAAATAACTAACCTCACCGCGTTTTACAATACCGCTGCTAATTCAGCAAACTTGAAGCTCACTTGAACGATTAACACTACTTCCCGCCAAGCACACAGGCCGAAACGCGGGGTTCTTCAATTTCTCGCTAACTACCTCCGCGCTCGTGAAGTAAGAAATCACACACTCGAACTCGTTTCCTTTCTATTTAAATCAGAATACTTCCGCTGATAATTTGAATCCTTGCGCGTTCTACTAAAATTTACATACTCTGGCATTGGCAGTTCCAGGGGAAAGTAAGGCTTGACAGGAAAGATAGTTTAAACTTAAAATAAATGTTAGTTAAAATAAATATAAACCCTACAATTTTAAATCGTATATCATAATAGATAATTTGAAACTCGGCGTATTCTTTGAATACTGAATTTATTCAGAATTTCCGATACACTCATTTTCCGAAAGAAATGCCTTAAAAAATAAACTTATATATATTTAAAGGCATATGTAGTAAATTAGCAAATAAATAAATGGAATAAGCTCAAGTCAAGCCCAGAAAATGTGATAAAAGGAGTAGTATATAAAAAATAAATAATACAAAAAAAGGAAAAATAATAATTATAATATCTCCCAAATACCTAGGATTTGATTCTTAGAAGAAATGAGGAAAAGGCGGAAAAATACAATATAACAATGAGAATGAATTAAACAAAACATTTTAAAAACATAAAAGGTTGCGTTACAAGCTTCGTAACATCTAGGCAGGGGTTTGATACCACTAGATAACATATCAAGCCTTTCTGAATTAAGCAACGAAAATGTAATATAGTTATTATTAATAAACCAACAAATTTTTCAGGCATCCACAAATAAATTTAAGCATACAAATGCAGGTAATCCGAAGGTTTTAGTAGAAAATAACACTGAATCTCTTTTTAAAGCTCCTTATGTGGGAAAGCCATTACAGCCATTGTCATATGTGGTTTTAGACAAATGAGCTAGTTGCCTTACAAATTTAATGTATTTATGTATTAATAAATCTAAGTGGCTAATTCTTGGCTCTTTTCAAGAAAAATTAAAATGAATATTTTAATCAACTGAATATAAGCAAATAGAAAAAACTTTTTTTTTTTTACATGTATAGTTCAAATTTCCAAGTTTTTAATTAAACGTATAGTTTGAATGCTATAATAGCCAGCCAGATTCATATTATAAATCATGATGCAAAAGCAACAGACAATAAATGAAGTAATTGGTACAGTATCAGAGAGAATCCTGATTAAAGTGCAAAGCAATAAAAACAATGGAGGAAATATGAATGGCAAAATGAAGGATCGAACTATTTTATCAGAAAGGCTAAGGAAGCGGACTTATAGGGAAGAAGAGAAAGAATAGGAAAATCGAAACTTAAGATATTGCTGTTTATATCCCATTGCGAAACAACTAGTGGCTAATTAGAAATATTTTTGTTTTATTGTTTGCTTGAACTTAAAGAATATCTAGAGAATCTTTAATTTAAAGAATCTTTAATTTAGGTAAAAAATAAGCGTTGGAGAAGGGTTTTGAGTAAAGAACGTATTCTTAAATAAGAGTTTTGAAGCCTCTTTTATAATCACTCTGAATCATACGCATAATCAGCATTAATTCTGCTTCATTTCTATCAAAAAGAATAAGTTGACAAGCTCTTAATTTGTTTGTATTTTTCGTTTAGTTATTCTTACTAGACAAATGCACAAGGACTAAAAGAGTTACCAGTTTGGCAATTGTTTCCTCTTGTTTACTCCTCAGGCGTCCTACCAAATGGTTTTACACTGACACGTTAAATATGAAAAAGTAGACTTACATTCGCTGCACTTATCCAAAACAGCTGTTTCTGTGTATAGTTAAGTCCGAAGAGCTTCAATTCCTCCGGTCTTTTAGAACTCCAATTTTTATAGCCCTAGAACGACAAAACACAAAATGCATGTAAATAGATTTAACTACCAATTGAAATTGAATAATTTAACATTTAATGATTAAAATTATATATAAGACACTTGATGTATATGAATTAGATGTATAATCATAATTAAATTTGATTGACACATATCGGTTAATATCTAAACAAAACAGAATGATTAACAATGAAGTCAAATATAAGTATATATCCTAATAATCCTAATAATTCAGATTGCGGGGCTAGGAAGAAAAGTATCATATGCTGAAACTTAATTTCAGTATCATTTGAGAAGCTTGCATTATGTTAAATGTAACATGACTAATGGTCACAAGTTTAAGGGCTGATAGAACACAATAAAACTAACAATTCTCCTAACACAATAATAGTGAACTGTTAAATGAAAGTAAGGGAATACAGTAAGTACGATGAACAGGGAAAAAGAAAGTCGTTTTTCATCAGTGATATATGTAAGTTTAGCTATTTAGAAGATAGTTCAAGTGAACGACCAGCGACTGTAGTACATTTATTCCAACGATGGCAAATTGCATTTCGAAACGTATATTGATACTCCTGGAGACCTATTATTCAGGATCAGCGTCGCTTCCGAACAGACGTAAACAACATGCCAGTCATTTTCCAAGGCGAAGCCAGTCAGATGCCATTGTTGTAATGCAAGTATTTCAGTTGCTGGACATTCATGTGAACAATTTTATTAAATATCAACCATTATTTTTTTGAATTTTGGTTATTAAAACGACTTCTTGTTTTCTCATGCTCTTCGTCGTTATTATATTCCGTAATTAACATTTCACATTCCATTATGCATCGTATCCCTTAGTTCTTTTATGAAAGTAATTGAAAATTACGTCAAATCCAAATTTCGCAATCTGTGCCCGGATTTCTTCTTCAGAACATGACTTGAATTTTGGGATGTCCTCATCATTTCCCATTGATAAATCTTCTGGTGTCTGTTCTTCAGTAGCTTCTCCATTCGGTGTTTGAATGTCTCTTTTTTCCTTACCAGGTTTAACCTCTTTCTTCTTACTTGGTTGTTCGCTTTCCGTATCTGACATAGTTTTCGCCTTTTTCGCTTCACTTTTCCTTTCTTTGGCCATAAGGATGAAATCCTCTTTCTTCAATGGATAGGACTTGTTGGTTTTGGACGAACGCTCATTTCGGTATTCCTCTTCATCAGAACTATCCAGTGGTGTCCTATAAAAGGACATTTTTGTTTTTCAGTTTCGCAAATCAATGACTTATTTATAGACAGAAAAATTTCTGACAACGTAACTGAATTGAGAGGTTTTCCTCCTTTTTATAAGATTTTTAAATCGTGAGCGAGAACTTTCTGGAACTTTCTCGAAATCAAAAAGAGATATTTATTTATTAAAATGTTAAATTCACGCGCTCTTGTATTTTTAATCTTCCGGCTTAGCTTTCCTTTAATATTCGTCACGCGCTGCACTGCGCGGGAAATAAAACCATTTAATTTATAATTTAACTAACATTTGCTACTCAAATACCAAATTCATAACAATATAAATGTTATTGCAATGCATATAACTGGCCAAAAGTCTCAAAATATATGAGAGAAAATATCTAAATTTATCTTACCGTACGATAATTCAAATATTCAAAATATTCATTTTTGTTACAAGTCATGTGATACATTAACTTGTGGTCTGTGTCTTGGGAAAATGGCCACCATCTAACTTTATTGCCTTTTTCATCAATCAGCCGACTTGCAATATGTGAAAAATTTTGAAATCTATTAAAAACTAGATAGATAGTTTTGTAATTTATTTGGTACATTATGCTAACCATAGCATTCGAATTTTGTGTCCCAATTAATTTTTTTTATTTCATGTTACTGATTTTTAAATACTTTAAAGCAATGGCCTAAAACTTGAGGCCATTGAAATTATTTCCTCAATAATTTATTTATTTGGAGCCATCAGAGAATATAGCCAATTTCTGAAGCTGCAAGGGATCGAAGACAAAGCCGAACAATGCAAAAAGGAAGGATACGGGTTGGAGAGAATAAAAAATTCGAGAGAATAAAAAATTGCAATTTGACATGTATTCTCGTATTAATGCATCCATTAATTATATTACTGAGCTAAAGAGTATCGCAGGTTAGCCAATAGCAGATCGTGGATTTGCCAATAGAAAAGAAATTGGAGAAATAATTGACTGTGAGATGCCAGCGTGAAATTTCCACACTTTTACCTCTGTTAAAAAATATAATATGCAATCTGAAAATATACGTATTATCTAAAAAAGCGTGCGTAGATTATACGTAGTATATCAAGATCTCAACTCTGTTGTTCATCAAAGTGAATACCTATCCACACCTCCATCGATTGTAATAAAAAAACTCCCATTCTTTACTATGTCTCTGAAGTCTCAGAAATAAGTCAGTATTTCATATTTTTTTTTAATATATTATCAGAGAAAATGAAAATAAATTTACAATAAACAGAACCGTGCTTTTTCTCGGGTTGAACGTAACCAAAGCATTTGACGGCACCTGACATAAGAGATTTTTCTTCAAATTGGTTAGACTTAATCTCCGGGGAATGAGCTTGCTGATTCTCTACCCAAAGAAGCGGCTAAAAGAAATAAAACATAGATATGCATAAAATGTACGTAACAGTATGTGTTACTTCGGGCTTGTATCCGGCATACGTGACATAACATCCATATTATTATACACTTATACACTTAAAGGATTATATATTGGTTTGGTATGCGATATTGTGTATTACATAATTTAGATGAAACATGAAATACATGAATAAAACGTATAAATAACATAATACGAGTACGTGCGTACGTTTCCTTAAGGTTATGCTATCACCTTACATAATGATACCTATTTGATAAAACATAAAGCTACATGCTTCTAATTTCTCTAGAGATACTTTGGACCAAATGTTTAAAATCTTTATACCAAAGGTTTTTAGCTTAGCTTTGGTATAAAGGTATAAAGATACTTTGGTATAAAGGTATAAAGATACAGCCATCCAATGTTGAACGACCTAATCCTACTGCGAATATGAACATCTGAAAGACCAAATTTGAAATTTGGAATTTGTTTTATTATCGCTTTCATATTTTGTAAACCTTTAATGAAATTTTGATTAACAAACTCAACAATTTAAAAGCGAGAAATGGCAACACTCTACCGGAGGGGGGAAATCTTTTTATCTCCAACGCGCGGAACGGTGTATCGAAATTCTAAAGATACGCTCATTTTAAATTTATTTGCGACATTACTGTTGAACTTAATTTTATGGTTTAAAAGATAACATGATATTTCATAAATAAAAGTAACACACAAAACGTTAAAAAAGCGCCTCTTTGGACGTAATTTAAAATTTGAAAAATTTCAAATCTTTTTCTTAAGCGCAGTGGGCGTACTAAAGATACGAAATAAATCTCTTCGAATCCACTTTAAATCAATTTGGTAAATCGTTTGGGGTTAAAAAGTCCTTTATTTTGTCCTTACGTACAGATGTCATTAAAAAACATCGTTAAATTTCATTCGATAGCAGTTAAAATGTATATTTTCGTTAAAATATGATACCCGGAATTTTTCGTGATTACAATAGTTCCTTTACTCCGTACAAAGAAGTAAAAATGGTACTGTGGAGTATTTTGATGAGTATTGTTTGTTATTCTCATGTGAAGGAAGTGAAGCAAAATGACCCAGCAGATGACATGTTTCCAAATATTTTGGCATATTTTATGAAAGCTTTTATACTCTTTAGACAAAAAAATTCCATAGAAAAATAAATAAATAAAAAATCTTAGAGGTTTCGATTTTAAACTACGTTCAAAGGGGCGTTTTTTCTGTACTACCTTTGTAAGGATCTTAAGTTTTACTAACGTTTATTTTATTTTAAATCTTTACTATCACTTCTTATTTTCTACTTCCGGCCAGAACTAAAAGCTTTAACTTATTTATGCAAATTTTGTCTTGCTAACGCCAAGTACTTAAGTTGGTGGCTTTTTGCCAGCAAGAGAGAGGAAGGAGCTATTAGAAGCAGACCGCTTGCCATAGTAGTTTTACTCGGTTGCTGGTTGCCTTCAAGGCCAGAGGTTTAATCCTCTTGATAATTTTAAACGTATCGTAGTTGTTAAGCAGTTCTCTGTACTACATACGGCTTTTTGTTAATATACGGCCAATCTTGGAGTAGGCACTTGTTTATTAATCCAAAGTTTAGTTAGAGTTTAGTTAATATTTTTATATTCTTACGTTCAGACCCACAAGGTGGTTGGTCTCTGTATTCCGAAGTCCGGAAATCATTGTAAAGAGAGAAAAATAAAGGGTTTCGTATACCCTTCCTGTGTCTATTGTCTACTTCCCAAATTTATTGAACATAGCTTTAGTAAGCTCCCTGTTCCGAGTCAGGACATTTAATGTTCCCAAAGCAAGTAAGGAAAAAAACAGAACCTGATAGTGGCGCCCGACGAAGAAGAATAACCATGGCCGAGTTTCAAGAAGAACCTGTGCTGCCTGCAGAAGCGGCTCAGAATCCAGAAATGCCAGCTGCCGCCCTGGAAGGATTTGGTTACATCGTCCAGACCATGCGCGCATCGATGAAACCAGAAGCAACATTTAATGGAAACTCACCGGTAACCAGTTTTTTGGAAAAATTGGATGACCACTTCATGCTGCATCCAGTGCATGAAGTTTCCAAAAGTTACCTTAGCTACCAGCGCTTTGAGAGGGGCCAAGCGCTTAATTGGTTCAAATGTATAGGCAGAAGTCTCTTGGGTCAAGCGGAAGTCCCACCTATACTTACGAAAATTTCAAGACCTGCCCTTAGTAAAAGCCTTCCCTGTCGTAAGGATCGTGCGAAATTAGAAACGGAACTTTTCATCAGCATATATCACAAACGAATCGAAAATCTTTCCACCTTTATTTTAAGAAAAATTCACGTCTTTAAACTCTTGTATGGAAACCGTCCGGATCCTGAGATAATTCAAGTGATTTTGCCGAGGTTACTTCCCCAAGTACAAGACTTTATTGAATTAAGGAATCCGACTACACTGGAAAAGTTATTTGAGCTAGCAATCCAGTTTGAAAGTAGAAGAACGGCGGACATTGAAAGAAGACGCCAGTATGACACGAAAGCCAATTTGGTGCGCCAAGACCACAGCGAAGTCAAGAACACGGCTACGGAAGCAAAGCGAATCAGTGGGCAAGGAAACCCGAGTATCCAAAACAACCGGCGAACGTCGACAGTTCAATAGTAAGCCAGGAAAAAAGTCTCAAGGCCAGTGGAAAAAGAAGGAAAGGCATGGAAAGGAAGAAACAAGATTTAAACTAAAACGGATTTCTGCTGACAGGAGGGTGCGGAAATCCGAAGCCAAGAAAACCCCCTCTTCCTTCAAGTTAAATACAGTGATGGTGAAAAATTTTGACTCTTTCCGAAGATTGAATGTTGGTGAATAACATCCCAGCCACCGCACTCCTGGATACAGGCGCGCAGTGTTCCTGTGTGGCAGAAGATTTTTTTAGGAAGTATTTCGTAAATACCGCATATATAATTCGGATAATACGACAGTGTTAGCTGCGCAAGGGAGAAAGATGCAAGTGCATAGGTAAATTACCGTTATACATTCGTATCAAGGACGAACAAGTAAAGGATCATGTTTTTTATCGTAAAGAATTTGCAAGCACATGTCATCTTAGGGATAGATTTCTTTCAGAGGCAGAAGCAACGCTGGATTTAACGAAGCGTCCCTTAAGCTGACGATGAAACCAGTTCGAGAAGAAAAAACAGAACCACCAACGTTAAACCTCGACCACCTACCTAAAGAAGAGCAACAAAAAATTCGACAAGTCGTAAGTGAATTTGCTTCGTTATTTAGTGATATTCCAGGATTTACACTCAAGTTTACTAACGGTAGTATCGACACCGGAGATTCACTGCCAGTTCGCCACAAACCATACCGATATGATAAGAATAAAGTGGCACATTAGAGATATGTTACGTAAAAAGATCATAACGCCCATCTCAAGTAGTTATGCTAGCCCGGGCCGGTGTTTATGTAAGAAAAATAATGACTATCCGGTAACACATCCAAAAAAGGTGGCGTTTGCGATTGACTATCGTAAATTAAACTCCATGACTAAATATCCGGTATATCCGTTACCTATTATCGAAGAAATTCTAAGGAACATAAACTTCTACCAAATACATGACTACTTTAGACTTAACGACT